TACTATTTCTATTTGCAAGGGGAGAATGGCGGCAGGGGTGGGGGGTGGGGAAGGTGTGTGTGTGTGTGTGTGTGTGACACCGTTCTCACATTGAAGCCCAAGGAATCTTTTCCTGGGCCCTGAGGCACTGTGAGACCTGAGCCCTGTATATTCTATGGATTTTGATTCCTAACTCTTTCCAGAAAAGCACAGTTCGTTTGTACTACTGGGCATATATTTCTTAAAACTGATTTCGGTATGAAAATGAAATAGCAACTGTTGTGAAGAAGTCATGATATGAAAAATTATAGCATCTTAATTTAGAACTTAAGAATTTGAGTTTTAAAAGGTTTTTACCTTTTCTAACCACAGGGTGAGTGTCCTGTTAGGCCTCCAAAAGAGTTGGCTGAATGAACAAACCTGAGAATCCATAGGGAAAAGAAAAGATGCCTCTAACTACATTAAAACAGATTCTTAGGGCAAAAGTCACTACCAGAGAAGTTAAAAGAGAAATGATAGCTAGGGAAAAATATTTTCAACTCATCACAGTTAAGGGCCAGTTTCTCTCATAAACCATTAAGAAAAAAGACTAACAACTCTGGAACAGACAGTAGGCCTGAAGGAAAACCTCCTAGGAGGGGTAGGACAGGTAACTTTAAAACATATGAGAAGATGAGACTTCCTTGAAACATGAGACGTGCAAATTAAAACTGTCCAAATTCCAGTCGTACCTCTCAGATTGGTGGAAACCTTGGATAGCACATAGTATTGTCACCTCCAAGTGAGGGCAATGTAACGGTATGAATTACAAAGCTGTATATGCTTTATAGTTCTTCTACGATTTTGTTCTATAGGTAAATCTCAGTATAATTGAAATGATGTGTTTATTGTAGCTTTTTCATTTTTGTATAAAATAGAAGAATTTTCATTCTGTGTGATACAGCAGAAGATTGGAAACAACCTAATTGTTCATCATTCAGGAATTTATTTAATAAGAGATGATACTTTTACACACTTGGACACTGTAGAATAATATGTGACTATAAAAACAAAACAAGTATCTTTGTATATTTATATACAAAATCTGTAAGCAAGAAAGTGCAAGACTACCTTGCAGCGTAGTATCATTTATGTAATAATGGGAAAGAAAAGTATTTCTGGATATATTTATATATGTATTTGCTTATACAGACACTTCCTTTGGAGGAATATATAAAAAACTTGTTAACAAGTTTTTTACTTTGGTTACTTTGGTTACTTTGGTTTACTTTGGTTACTTTGCCAAGGGGAGGTAAACTGAATATATGGAGAAACAGTAGTAGGAGGAAGACTTTAAAATTGAAACATTAAAACAAAGTGTATTCTGTATTATGATTGAAAAGGACATTGAGAGCTTCATGACTACGTATCAATAAAGTGGACACCTGGAACCCAGGCTTAGAACATTGTCATTGTTTGGAAGCCACCCCCAAGCTCTCCCCATGCACCTCTTTTCCCCATTTCGTCCTGGTGCAAATGTCTCCCTGTGCAAGTTCCCCGGAACTTTCTGTAAACCTTGATTTCTTCTCTTCTCATCTTTCCTTCACACACTCATGCTTTGTATCCAACCTGGTTCCCCTTGCGCTTTTCTCCAGACAAACCCCCGGGATGGAACTGGCACAGAGCGGTCGAGCCTGATGTCAGGGGTGGAGAGACGGAGCATGGCCACATCGCTGGAGCAGAGAAGCCTCGAATCCAACTTTCTGAGAACCAGCCTGGCGCCTGGGTCGGAGGCAGCAGAGCAGACCGCACTGGAGGAGGGAGAGGGCGGGAAGCAGGAAGAGAAGGCGGCCCCGGCTTCTTCCAGGCTCATCCACCCCAATGATGTCCTAAAGATTCTGGAGGCCTTCGTCATAGGTCTGAGGAAGCCCAGGTGGGCTGTGGGGCCAGTGAGCTTGCCTGAGACCTGGGGGAGAGGGTAGAGGGCTGGAGCCGAGCAGAGTCCAGTGAGTGGAGGAGAGGCGGTAGGGCATGATTTGGGGAAACTGAGGAACATAGTCATGAAAGAAATGAGGTGTAGGAGTGATTTGCACCTTTTCTGGTCATTCATTCATTCATGCAACAAATGTTTATTGAGGTCTGCCAGGCGTAGCACCTTGTGATCAGAGCGGTGGCGGAGGCATCCATGAGTGTAATGTTGTAACCAGGCAAGAAGGAAGTAGCATCTCCATCTGGCTGTCCGCAAGGTTACAGGGAGGGCATGGCGCAGAAATTGGATGCTCCTAAGTGAGGAAAGGGCTTTTCCAGGCATGACAGTGCAGAGAAAGCCTTGACGTGTTCAGAATTCGTGACAGGAGGGATGGCCGCAGTGTCTTGGACCTGGGAGGTAGGACCCGTGGGTTGGGGACCAGGTCAGAGATCCTGCCCTGTCTGCCTATGATCTTTGTCTTTGCCCTGGTGACTGGAGCCAGGAGAGTATTTTCAGGGGCGGGGGAGTCACGATTTAACTTGCGTTTTAGAAGAATCCCTTTGTTCCCAGTAC